ACTCAATTGCACTTCAATCTACCTCTTTTGTTTTTTAGTCTTGATCGGCTTATGCAATAAATGCAATCTAATAAGACAAAAATCAGAAGAAAATTTACGTTTCAAAGCGCCTCTTTATAGAATGATCATAAGAATACTTAAGTAAAAATACCTAGAACAATCTACAGTATAGGTACTCTAGGATAAGAAAGTGAATCTAGGTTAAAGGATACTTAGCTCCAATTGTGTCCACCCCAGATGGAGGTTGGCAGCAGGTTCATTGATGGTTCTTTAATGATAAAAAGGTTTCTTATACAATTTATGTAGGTGCCTTCTTACCTAGTTCCTCTGGGAATCGTGGCCGCAAAATTGAATGATCCCCTAACATTTAGATCATAAATCATTCAAATAAATAAATAGCATTATTCCCAATACTCGATACTTTATTACTTTGTCAAAATGTTCTCGATATTAGTCTTTACTTCAATACTTGTATGTTAAGGTAGAAATTAGAGTACTCAATTGTTTTTACTTTGGTTGCTATACTGGGTGCGATTTTTAGGTCAAGTACTTCAGTAACATCACCATCACTAAAGTTGGTATTTATCTAGAGTTTCATCTTATTTTTTCTCGTAATAAGACATTAGATTATGTAACGAAATTGTTGAAAAGTGGGTGAATTACTGCCTACTCTTTCCAGGAATAACAGGTATAATGAAGTTATGAAGAAACTTGTGAATGAAATTGTAAATGTATTGTACCTAAATATGATGGATGTGGGCGAAGAAATTTCAGATTCATATTGTGTTGGTGGAGCTATTGTGCTGCCTGAAGATTGTGGGAGTTAAGTATAGACACGAGCATATTAAGCTGCTATATTCTTCCAAGAAAAGATTTTGAAGTTCATTGAAAGTAAATAAACCTGAAAATTGACGTTTCGGACAAATACACGTCACACATACTCAACACCGGCAATTCCTGTTAACCAGGATCTGCAACAGAGAAGATACTGTCTTGGATGCGGCAACAAAATAAATCAGAAAATATCAATGAAGGAGACAGCATTTGCACGGGGTTTTTTTTATTTATTTCGAAAGAAGTAGGTTGCTATACCTGTGGTCGGTACCAAACTAAATAATACATGAACATGAACTGCCCGCGTTGATTTATGCTAGACGCAATAAAATGGAGTGCGAGCGAAAATGGGTTACCGATACGTTGTTCATTAACCTATTTTCGGCGAAAGATTCTCACACTTTATTTCGTCTGTCAGTTCATTTTCATCATTCTCGTTTCAAAAAACTAAACGTTGTGAATGCTTTTGCTGGTTTCTTTCTTCGACACGTATTTTACGAAGACAGAAATATGTTATGTTTTATCTACTAAATAGGTAGTTAGTTGACCAATGTATCAGTAGATGTCATGAAATACAAATAACTAAGCTTTAAGTCGTTAGTAGTAGTTAATAATTTTCAGACAATGGTAGATTTGTTTTATAGATACATAGGTCTAGTAAGTAGTTAGTTATTTTACATTTGAACTAAAGTCCAATAAAAATAACAGAAGCATTTTCTCTTCAAATAAAATTATCTTCGCAAACGTTAAGTAAGAAGCAAACGCATGGTCACCGTACCACGTAATGATGTTCAGATAGGCAGTAACTGAAAGCTAAAAGCTAGTAAGTAAATCGTGCTGTAATAAATATCGAGAGGCTCGCTCGTTGCTGACTATGTGAGAAGCTACAAATTACGAGCTGTGCCATTTGAGTCCTGTATCGAACAAAGTGAAATACCTAGTTAGACTTCATGAGATTATTTTTTGCTACGAGCAATCAGCACTAGTTCGGATTTTCTTTTAATTACTTTTACACTTCCTGAGAAAAAGGTAGATAACTAACGGTAAATAAGAGAAGTGCAAACAATAATTGTACTTATCGCTGTGTTCTTTCTTTGATGTTGCAAATTATTTGAATTAACATATAACCTCTTTTTTTGGGATAGAGGGGCAAGCAAGTAAACGCATTACCTCATAGTAAGGGTTCGATACCACACGCATTCGTCAAATAAATAATATGTATTTTGTATAATGGCGCCACTCGAATCTATAACTCCTGCTATATTGACTGCTCTAGACTCCAGATTCCCTCATTCCCATAACATATGAAACAAGATAAGAGAGATAATATGTATCAGTGATATTTTCCCATGTTGTCAAGATATCACTTATGAAAAATGTGATAAAAAGCAAAAATAGATTCCCAAATTTGATAAATTGATAGGATGAATATTTCAATAGGTTCTAACAAAAGTTTTGGGATTGTCGTAAGTTATTTAACTCGTCGAGTACCGTCATTATAGACACAATTATAGGACAACAGGTTGCGGTCACCGGTGACCGCTTGGTGTTTGACAGTTTAAGAGGCTTTTCAAACATTTTACTTTTTGAGAGTCTAAAATCATCCAATGGCTTCTCCCGTCTGGGTGTCAGACTTTTACTGACTAAAATCCACCCCGTTCTTACTCCTGCACTTCGAACCGGAGCCCCGGCAAACCCTTAAACTCTCCGCGGCTCCGTGTCGGCATCAGCCCTGGGTCCCACCTGTAATGGTCTGATGGCTACTAGAGGCGCGCGCGGAACGCGAACGCGAGTTACCCGTGCTCGCCGTCCGCAGGCCCGTACTCACGGTAGACGGAGATCATCTCGCGATCTCCGACGCCTAGAGCATCTCTCGCGACGGCTAGGGTGTAAGGTGTTTCGATCCCTCACGCGTCCCGGCTCCTCCTTAGCCGTTTCTCAATCAATCAATCATTTATTATTTGTAAAACATTTTGGGTTGCGGTTTCGAAACCTACCAATGTGATGTGTAATGCTCAAACCAATATGCTGTTGATTTAAGAGGGTCACAAATATCATTCAAGCCATATAGTAAGTTAGAGGTCCGTCAACAAGATCATGTGACAGTCCACTATTAGGTACTCAGAGCCTCCTGTACCATAATCTTCATGCTTGACTTGCAGGTTGGGGATCTGAAGGTTCACATTTATCATCGGATGATGTTGCCAGGTCTCTGTGAAATCTGTCCATTAGTATGCTTTTATGGCAACAGCAGGAAAATTAGGTGTGTAAAACTGTCAATAAATGTATATTATTCTACTTTAGGACCAGAATTATTTAGAGTCTGCGAGATATATAATTACTAGCTAGAATTAGATCATAAATTTAGATAACAGTACTAATAAAATAATAATTATTTGCAAGTTAATTAAATTATTACATACATCCTGCATGTAATAATAAATTGCTTATCACAACACTATAAACTGCAAACATTATTATTATGACAAAGGTTAAGCAATGCTGCCAGCGTTCTGGATACTTTCCCTATTGATGTTGATGCCGAAGAATTTTTTTAATGCCTTCTGTAAATAGTAAATTTTAGTTTTCTTTTATTTAATTGTCTCTAATACTTTTAGTTTATTTTAAGTTGTACATATTTATTTACATATTTCCTTATTTTTATATTCCATGTAAATAAGTATTAAAACGAATTAATAAAATGAATTATTAGAACTAACATCAATCGAGTTAACTGTCTTACTGGTGAAATGGTTACTAGTGGAAGTGCTGAGGCATTTTTATTTCTTTTTGGTTGGTTCTACAAATACATATTTTATAGTATAAGGTCTGAAATTGCATCTCATAACATGAGACATTACGCCTTTAACTGCTGACAAAAGATAAAAACTGTTAAAGACCAATCCTCAGCTAGCATTGGATATTATTGTCCGACACGGCATCCAATGTTTTAAACAATTACAACTACTATGTGTTTTAAAACCTAAGTATACTCATAAATGACACAAATTTGATTGCACGGTTGGCACAGTGTTTACAAGTCTTCGCTTCCATGTCTACATGTAATCTAACTTGTCTATGCCAACTACATAGAAGGTTTCTTTAGGTCTGGGGCCTTAGTCTGCTATTACAATTATGTCAATTATGTCAGCGCAAGCACTGCTTGCACTGCTCAATGATCGACCATTCTGACAGTATTGCATAGCAGATTCGGGTGTGAGTGAGATGTGTGTAAAAAAAATGTGTTTTTTAGTTTCTGTATAATATGTACAAAGCTAAAAAAACATTTTGTTCCATTCATATATATGCAAATGTTTGCCAGTAGGTAACTATGTAAACAATTTAACTTGGAGATTAATAATAAATTATGCATATCAATTAATTATATTTCTTGCAATAAAATTAGACTTGACTTAACTATATAGAATAGAGATGTGTTAGAAAATACTAAACTACATAGTACATAGACTTTGTTTTAAACCACAGGGTTTTACTTGTATCAATATAATAAAAGACTTTTTATTTATAAAAACTTGATTTTAAATTGTTACAACAAAATTTATTTCTTGTTTCCATGATTGCAGAATTTCATCAATGTTGAGTTCAATTATTACTAGTTCATAAGATTTCACTGTAACATGGATATAGTAAGTAAGTCTTATTTATTTCAATACTTCAGGAACTTTTAAACACATTGTTTACAGTTTACACAGAGGAGTTTACACTTTTATATCAGTGTTATAGAGTTCCAATTCAAACAAACAAAGGTAAACAACAATTCATACATTATTTCCTTTAGCTAAAGGATAATATAATTTATACTGATAACAGTCCAATTAGAAATTAATTTAATTAAGAACATAGATTAGATAACGTCTAAGGAAGTAATTTATCGATATATAATTTATCTATATTTAGAATAACAAGAATATCATGTCATTAGCCAATCTCTCTATAAATTCAAATATAAACGTTTGTGTTCATCAAACCGTAAAATTTATAACATGATAACAAACGTTATACCAAAGCTATAATTTATTGCGTTCTATTTTACGAATGAACAACTTCAATTAATCAATACAATAAAAACACTTCCTGACTCTAGGGCACACAAAAAACTAGGAATGCATTACACAAATACAAAATAAAAACAAAAAATAACTTACCGACGCACGTTGTTTGATCTTAGAAGTAAACAATGAACACTGGCCACTAACAAATGTCACGAAAATTCTCAATAAACACTATCACTGCAATATTGTCCTTAAAATTAATATATTTCATTCAATAATGCAAAAATAAACACAACAAAGGAAAATTCATGAAACGATGCACTGCCTCCGTTTGTTGTCAGCCACTTGACAGTTTGTTTGTCAAGCATACAGGTTGACGTTTCATTCGTGTTCTTTACACGCAGTGGTTTAAAGTTGGTTGTAAACGTTGTTTTCATCATTTCACTTATTATTTAGTAGAATGAATATTTTTAGGGTTAGAAAATTATGCATTTTAAAACATAATTAAAACATCGTAAGAAGTCTTACATTTTTCTTTATTAGCATGATTATTTCTACTCTTAGAATCCTATATTATTATCTCTTGGTCGACAATGAGTGAGTAGAAAAGTACAATGTTATGCTTCTAGATGGCGGTAGATCCGAATAGAAATAAGTTGTAGAAGTAAACGATAGATGGCATTCTAAGTATAAAAATGTAAAAAGTCTTTAACACAAAATTACTACTTGTTACACCTATGGCCAAAAAAATGTAAGATACCACATAAATTCTTTATTGAAGACATCAGCCTCCAATAGGTACTTCAAACTATACTTACACACATACTAGCTACCACTAGTGTACATAAGTAGGTAGATAACAATTTTGGACATTACTACATAGAAATAAATTCCGCTCTTTATATGGGATAGGATCATAAGACAGCAAACTAGATCACCTGATGGTAAGCAAGCTACACCTGGCACACCTGCAATACCAGAATAGTGCGTTGCCGGCCTTTTAGGAGAGGGGTGATTGGTATCTATTTAGTTTGGAGGGTGATTTACTTAGAAAGTGGATAGGTAAGTCATAGCTTTGTTTTTTGACTCCAAGGTGGGAAATCCTCATGGAGCCTCGCCTGGGGAGGACGAAAGAGACCCTCGTACCCACGTGTGAAACGAAATACAGGGGTGGATTTTAGTCAATAAGAATCTGACAGAGTTTAGTATAGCTACTGTGAATTTAATAACAGCTAAACCTAGGTAGGTTCTATACTCCTATAGGGTATATTCGTGATTTACGAATCTCAAAATCGTTTCCTTGATATTTATCTGTTCTAGAAACAAAATGAGAACCATAACCCATAATCATTTTTCATTGATATTTCCTCGTAATTCAGTAGAGCTTGTCAGGCATAACTTCATCAATGTCACTATGCGTACCTAACCCTTCTTACGCCACGAAAAATCAATGACATGTTTGAAAAGAAATACCCAAAATCGGGTTACTAGGCAACGTGCAAACGACGGGGCCTATATACTAAGTGTAACGCACTGTATCTATTATAAATCACATGTTTTGTATGTGTATCTTATTGTCAGGGGAATAAAGTCATAAATCACTGAAGGTCAGTACTATACAGTTATTTATGTAGCAAATTGCTTTGGTAATGTCCCGCTTTGGCGCTTGGTCGATTTTTCCTCGATACGTATTAAACATGTGAGCTTTGTGTGCGTAGAAAACTAGAAATGCGTGATTAATTTTATGAAATTAAAAAAGAAAGTTCAGAATTTTACTAAACTCTTGGATGAATAGATACTACCTATATTGCCAAAAGCTCTTAGAACCAGGCAATTAAAGATCGCGTTTCTTCACTGTAACGCATACTTAACTCAGCTTTTTATATAAAAGTTTAAATAATTTGTGACTTCTATTTTGACACATAGGAATCGTAAGACCTTCGTTTACTTGGCACGAAATGTTTTAAATTAGTTAGGTAATTAGGCATATCTCTAGGTAATTAGGCATATCTCTCTGAAAATCGACTCTGAATGTAATTTGGTAATAAGTACCTACCAATTCATTTCGTATTTATTTTTATGATTGATGAACATAAAAAAAGATACTCAAAATAATAAAATGGCGTTATAGATGTGTAGATAACTCCGTTGTCTTACTACCTAATACTGCATCAGACTGCCTTCTTTCAGCATATCAGCCATTGACTTTATACCTTCATGGTTCATTTCCCGCCACATAAACCTATCATGTGGCCCCCCATAAAATACAGAAAAGATTTAAAAACTATACTAAAATACATTTATTTGATAACGTATGGTGACATCGCGTGTCGTATGCTAACCGTACGATTTCTTATGCAAATATGAGCATGCATAGGCCATACGTGCATCGATAACATCTACGATAGGTAACTGATAAAATGGTTATTTAAATAAATCGCCGTATAGTAATAACGCTTTGCAGTTGTAGGTATATTATTTTGTTGAATAGTAATATTCATAGATTTTTTCTACCTTACTGAAATAATATGGCGTTTTTGTAAGACCATCCTCTCATGGCAGGACCATAGGTATCCCATGAATAAACAATCATCCGAAAATAACAAATATCAAAACCGAGTGTAATAAACCCTTTTTTTGCCAAGCTGTACCCACCTTTGTACTTGGTAAAAAATATCCTACCTTTATTTTTTTATGGTTTACATGGAACGCTAGAGACCTTAGACATATTAAAAACTACCCATGTCGTTAGTTACTTAGATTTTAGTCAAATTTCTGTGGCTTCACCCAGTTGTACAGTCTCTTTTTTGTGCTTTTAGGCTTATGTCATTCTGTCTGCTGCAGTAATTTTTTTTTTCTTCTCCTCTTATAATATCTTCTGGTTCACCTTAGTTAGAACCAAGACAGTTATTCATATCCCTGAGACGCGCCGGACTTCAGTGTTCCGGTGTTTTCATGGTTTTGGGACGTTGTGGCGGGCTTGTCCCATAAAAAAATGCTGTAGTCGTTAGTGTTCAATAAAAATAAACTAAATACTGCAGGTATGTCTATTATTCAAATATGTTAAGTATAGATAGGTAGATTTATTTGTGTTTAGTTCAATGAATTCCTTTCAATGAATGTTATAAGGGAACCCATTAATTGCCAAAATTATTATAATAAATCAGAGATTTCGTGTAAAATGAAAATATTTACCGATAGGATCGAAGCTTATACAAATTAATGTAAATTTTCTTCAAATAGGTAGCAGGTATTACAATGTTGCGCCTTTGGAGACAATTTAAAACGAATCGAGGCTTAATTTATGTGTATAACAGTGCGGTTATTGGTAAATAAATTTCTCTATAATTATACCTACCAATGAAAATTAATTTAGAAAGGATTATTAGAAAGTTATTTGTGGATTTTCTGCAATATGGATTGAAATGTAAATTGTCGTTCCTACGTACGTAATTGGTCTATTCATATGTGAAGGAAAAAAGGAAGAAGAAATTGTTTTACTATTCGAAGTAGGTAGAATAATTGCGATGGCATAGGAATCTTTTTGTCAATCATTTCTTAATCTGTTCAGAATCTTTCGGTCATCTTTAAATAAGAGCTTTTCTTCTCTTCTCTGTTAATTTGCACCTGGTGACCTGGCAAAGCGGCCGTGGCCAAGTTGAGGCGGCGGTATTTGTGTCGCAGGCGGATACTGCTATCCTCACGATATCCCGCCATATCTCCCTGTTGGCGATTTGAATTGATCAGTCCAGCGCATAAGTGATCTGCGTCGTGATATGGTTCCCTCTATTTTCCCCTGAACGACCAGCCGCTCTATGGGGTGAAATCTGAAATAAGATTTAAGTACATACACATAAATCATTAAACACATGCCACAAACATTCCGCTTAATGCTTTCTTTAAGAACAAAATAATTAAACTCCGCAATTCAACACTTTTTCCTTCAGAGAGGCTCGTGGCACAAAACACTCATCACCTCGATTTTTTATTATGACTGTGTCTTATCTGCACATATAGCGTCATTAGCTTACTCTTTGACTGAGACATTTACACAATCGTATTTTAATCGGCCTATCGAAGTTAGAAATCAAAGTTATTGAAGATTAATCACACGTAAAGCACAATAAGGAAGCGTAAAGCACAATAAGGAAGCGTTTGACAAATTATTTGAATTTATCGTACTGAGGAATTCAGGAATTTATTCAGCTTTGTTTTTGTTCCAATAAATGGCTATGGAATTTAATGTCGATGAAAGTATTTTAGGGAAAGTAATGTGATAAGTTTTAAGGAGTGCACTGGAATTAGGGTACTTATCATTTTCTTCCATAATTTTTACAATTATGGAAATAATTTGGTTCTGTTTTGACGATCTAAGAATGAGGGAAGTACCTACCTATGTTGTTGTTTATATTTCTCAGAAGTTCATCACTCAGATATTATGGAGAATTAAGTACGGACTAGTACGGAGTACAAAAATAACGGTAGTTAATCGGTTGATCTTCTAGCAAAATACGCGAAAATACTAATAGATAAATATCTTTCTTACTCCACTTTTTGCGGCTGACTACATACAAACGTAGCCATAAAAACGACAGATAGTAGCTAGGTAGTTACCTAATACAACTTTTCCTTACAACTACATATTTCATGTCGTACATAAATTATTGTTGGAAAACATAAATTTCTTGGAAACAAAAACTGATTACCTATACACGCGTAGTTTTTACGTAAAACACGACGAAACTTTCTGAAATATATATCAAAACTATATAAAACTACCGTTAGCGGATTTATCCGCCTATAATATATCATGCGTCGGTTTCGTCTGCACTATATTATTTTGGAAATGAGAAAAATATTGTTGTAATTATATAGGTATGTTGTGGACTTGTGGGACATAATGGTAGGTACTTAGGATTATGTGTTAATTGACAGTGAAGGAAAGTATACTGGTCTACTAAGTGGTCCAATTTAAGATAGCGAATTTTTCTAAGATTTTCCAGCTCCGAAATGTTATACAGGATGCTTTAGCAAAAACAATAGCTTCAAAAACGAACATACATATACAACGATGTTATATCCCCTGCCTACATGGCCAAAACCAAAGTTAGTTGCTAACTAACTTAGTAATTAAGCATTGTATCAGCTCGGTAATCGGCAGTAGTCGGTGCCTCGCACCAACTATTTGAACTAGGTTAGCACGTTACTCAAGAACTATGCATCAGACTTAATGGGTACAAGGAATTTGTGGTACGTTATAACTATATCTACCTAATGCTACACGTTCTACGAAAATAGTTCGACTTCACTAATGTGCGGAATGAAAAGGAAAGTTTTAGCTAAATATGTAAGTATTTAGAATTTGTAGATAAGTTTTTAGAATGAATGATTAACCGCTTATCTGCCGGCGTATGAGACACAATAGAAAAGACATTGTGTCCCGCATATATCTACGTTCCTTTTGTTAGAGCTAAGCTATTCAGTAAGATGTCAATTCGAACTCTCGAAGTGAGCTCTACCGCGGTCCGCCATGCAATTGGTTGTGGTTGTGAGAATAATCTCGACCAATGACAGGCGAGAATGCAATCGAACTCACTTATACAATATTCTGTAAGATGTGAATTAAGTTTAAGTTAAAATTATCACTAATGCTGGTTTTAGAGTCACGCTGACCGCACGCTTATTGTCGGCGCTGAGACCTGAAACGTAATATGAACTTCTATAAACCGTTTTAGAATAACGGTCAGCAGATTAAAATCAGCCTTACATGATTAAAAAGGTGATAGTAATAATATTGATAAACAAGGAGGATAACAAAGTGCACCTACAAAATTACATTAAAGAGCATTGAAATGTAATTTTACTTTACCTAATACTACGTTTTGGATATCCATATATATATATATACTCTTTTTTTTGTGTGTGTTATTGTACTTTGTGAAGATGTGTAAATAAACCATTTTTCTTTCTTCCTTTCTTTCTTTCTTTCAACAGCCAATGGCGACTGACGGCAAGCAGATTAGCATGGCGGCTAGTGCCATAGCGCTTCGTGGGGTTCGCCTATTCTTGACAGCAGGTCGGCACGCAGCTGACCGTCCTCAGAACCAAGCTGCAGCACCTGCTCCAAGACCCAAACCTAAAGGAAAGAAGCCTGTAGTCGGTGGGAAGCCACCGCAGAAAGTCTTCGAAATGCTGATCAAGACCACTAGGTTTTCCAAGTCAGTACACGTATATACTGCTTCCCTTATAGTTCTCATAGGTACCTACGTTCAGATTTATCAGAAAGCTCTTACGACAGTGGAGGTAAGATTTGGCGTGGTGTCAAAATGTATTCTATGCTGCTGCGCTAGGTGAGTACAATTGAAAATGTAAAATAATTCTGATTAAAGCCAAGGGTACTCTAGGGGACAAATATCCTGCGACACGTGTCGTCAGCGACGTTGGGTGAAGTAGCGCGACGCTGTCGGACTTTAGTCGACAATGTCTGGCAACATTAACGCCGTGTGGACATAAGTCGCGCGTTATTACTGTACTAGCTACTTCCACGCGGTTTCACACGCTCTGCTCAGCTCCTATTGGTCGTAGCATGGTATTTTATAATGCCTTCCTTGATAAATGGGCTATCCGACATTGAAAGAATTTTTCAAATCGGACCACTAGTTTCGGAGATTAGCGCGTTCAAACAATGGACAAAAAACCTAACTCTTTAGCTTTATAATATTATTAGTATAGATATGTCAGGCGAAATCGGCCGGTTTCGTTCGACACGTTGCTGATACATTTGTCCCCTAGTGTATCCTTGCCCTAAAGTTGACAAAATATTGAGTTGTTAATCAGTGTTGTTGACACGAGCTGTGGTTTGAGTTGAGTGACGTGACGAGCTCGACTACAGGCTGAACTTCTAATGTAGTTTTCTAATTGGATGCGAAAAGCAGTGAAGGTCTATTGGGTCAAAAATGATTTTTGAGAAGTTTTAAAGTTTCATTTAATGATTTTCCTCCAGAAATGCTTATTACCTCTGAATTCCAGTTAGCATAAATATTTTATCGTTCATCATAAAATGAGTTTTCCAAATTTATTCCATGTAGAAAGAAAATGCTTTTAAAGGATACTCATAAAACGTTGAGTCACACATTTCAAACCGCCTTAAAAATGCATCGTAAACATGAAAAGGGCAAACGTGAGGGGTAACATACCTAATAAAAAAAAGCCGCGCGCGTCTATTAACACCACGCATTCAACCCTAAATTAACCCATTCAATTTGTGAGCGATAAAACATCGAAGGTTACTATTGGTTTTGTCCCTTCATCGCTCGTAGCTCGTAGTAGTATGGTAGCTCAGTAGACGGTTTCAGGCGACCCGTGTAGGTCGCCTTGTGAACATAAAATATTACGGTCTCGAGTATGAAACACGTGCAATGATGCCTAACAAGAAACTAAAAGAGAAACATCTTGATGCCTTGTATAAACAAACTCATTTTAGCAAGTGAGTGCAGCGGTTTTAGTGTTAAAAGTTCGATGTTTGATTTTTTTGAGGCTAGATAAAAGTTTTTGAATTTGGAATAGTTTTTTTTTTACTTATTTTGTTAAGAGATTAGTATTAGCAATTTTTTTCCGAAACTTAAAAATTAGATTTTTTTATACAAAACTACAGATTAAATCTACGGTTAATTTTGTTGTTTGTTTCGTGCAATTATTGAGCAGAAAACATTTTATTGGCAGTGAATTTCCACATAGAAAAAAAGTGTTAAAAGGTTGTGACGGTATATGACGAAAATGTTTTAAGAGCTTTATCAAAACTGTCTTATGGAAATAATTTTATTGAAATACTTATTTCTGAGTACGCGTACATTTCCTAGTGACAGAGCGTCGCGTTCAAGTAAACACGAATAGAACATACTTTTTGCCTCCGAACTTTTTTTGTAATCGCATGTAGGTATTTGGCAAAACACTAGGTTACTCGTACAAGGACTGCGTGATACCGATCTGCCTACTTTACGAGGGAACTCTGTTGCCTTCACATTTAATCGTAAAAACGGACAAATTATTGTGTTCACAACGAGATAGGCATAGACATGTTTTTTACGAGCCTTTTTTTACTTTTATTTGTACATTTTTTCTTGTTTATTACTTAGATAGGTACTAGGTTTTTGGCACGGCCTGTTCTTGTTATAGCGATTACAGTTTTCAACCTTTCTTGTGCTCTTAGACATTTGAGTTGAACTTAGAGGTAATATATTCAATGGAATATAGGTGATTTAAAATTAGATTTTGTAAGGAGCTACTCTTTTGGAAAATGCTATTTAGAAATCAAAGACGGGCTAATTACCATCTAGAGGCAAACTGAGAAAAATCGTTACATTTGTAAGACATAAAAGACCGATTTTTAATTTACAGAGCTGAGATAGAAGCACTGTACACGATGTACCGTCGGCTAGTAATAGCTGCTCAAGCCGCGGCTCCAGCCTCGGCCATTGGACATCCACCTAAGATAGACGTAAGTATTGTCCTGCAAATATATAACAAAGGCGTCGACTGACTTCTCTGAGTGGATATTATACCCTTTTCCTGCCCTCTTGTCAAATTTAATACGAATGCGTAGTGTATTTCCTTCATCTACTTTCGTCCTATAGATGTCATCACAGTACTAAGTCCTTTTTACCGACTTCAAAAAAAGGAGGAGGTACTATGTTCGGCTGATTGTTTTTTTTTTTTTTTTTTTTTGTTTGTTTT